TCCCCCTCATCCTCAGCCCCACATATTTAACCACACCTATGTATGCACACATATATATTTGTCACAAGCCACACTTCTTCCCCCACCCAAAAAAAGGGCAGGGTCAATAGAAAAATAAAATTATATGACTTATATTAATGATGAAATAAAATTCATTGCCTGCAGAGTGTAGTATCCCATTTATAAAATTGATTCCTTCTCCATATATCAACCATTCTCTTTCATTCAAAACACCCTCATGCACAGAAACATGCTAATTCACATTCTCCTTCTTCTTTTAGCAGAAATTCCTCCCCACTCCCCCCCCCCAAAAAACAGGCCCAAGATGGATTAAAGAAAAGGATAGAAAGATACAAGGTGAAACCCAATTAAATGGAGATGAGAGAAAGGGAACAAGTAGCTGGATAGGGAAGGAAAGAAAGAGAAGTCCTATTTAAATCTTACAAAAAGGGTTCAATGCACCAAGCAAGAAGCCCCTTTCAGGTAAATGTCAACCTTCAAAGGCATCCACACTTTTGAGCAACAATCTCTGCAGCCCTTTCATCCTCCCCCCATTCCTTTGTCTTCCACAGCCCCTCCATCAATCAACGTAAGCTCTTCCAATGGGGTAAAAAGGATAAATATTCCCTCAGTTCAAACTGATACCTAGAAGAGTATATCCACATATTTTTCTTGGTGACATCTGCTAAGTGCTGCTACTTGAACTGGACTCCCATGGGGAAAAACAAATTTAGCACTAAAAATGACAAGTTGCTGCCCTTCCTTTTTAGCATCTCTCTAATAATCTGCTCTATTTTCCAGATATTTAAAAGAAAACTTAATAGGTGAATTAAGTGACTTACAATTGTAACATCCAAAATCTATCTCTGTATGCTTGCATGCTTTGGATCTTCTGAGAGGTACCTTAGTTCAATCCCCAGGAAGATACTCCTTAGGGTCCAGTTCCAAGCATCCATGAAATGAGTGAGACTATGCACTTTTCTTCTCCTGGCTTCCATCACTGGCCGCAAGAAGAGGACAGGTAAATAAGCAGATTTGCTTAACCTAACTACACCCAGTTGCTTGTGAGTTATCTCTCAGCTGTGCAGCATTTGGAAGTACTGGTCTTGGGCAGTGACACAACTTCTTCCTACACTACCCAGTAAATGGAGGTGAAGAGGCTTCTAACAGATTCTACCAGACCTTTTTCATTTCTCATGTTTGTCTATTCTCTGGTCAATGAAACTGGGCTTGAGTCTCCTAAGTTCAATTTTAAGTTCATCCTGCAGATTCTACTTTCTCACTAAGGAAAATCCAAGAGTTTTGAGAACAGTTTTTGGGAGTGAAACTTTGTTCCTCTGCCTCACAGGATAATCTGCTACCATTAACAGTGGGAAACCAGAAATCTCCTTCTCCCAATCAACTGATGAATGGTCCCAAGCAGGATTACTGAGAAGGAGTGGACATAGTCTCTGTGATTCCATGGGACCCACATTTTGCAGCCACAGGCTGCTTCTGCCCTTTCGACTGTCCACTCCACTGCAGGACATATTGTGGCTATGACTGAATCTTGTCTTAACTTTTGTATCACCTAGGAAAATATAATGTGATTGAGAAGCAATGTTCTGTCCTCCCCCTCCCCTCCATATTTAAAATGAAAATCCAGGGGGAAAAAATGGAACGAGTACGCAGCAACTTGGGTTTTTCATTTGGGTCACTCATAGCACTTTCTGGAGGGTATTTTATTCTGGAAAATGATTGCATGGAAGATGTAAGCCCCCACCACTACATTTATTTCTATGCTCAAACCTAGAAAGCCATCCTGTTACACATTTATATCATCATGCTATACTGCAGATAGCAGGGAATTTGAAAGACCTGCCTTGCTACTTTTTGAGTCCATAACATAGTTGAGATTTGAATTATGGAGATTGTACCTTATAGCATAGTTACTTAAAGACAACAGTTCCCTTTCCCCCAATTTCTTTGTTCTGCATCTTTCTTCTTTTTTCAAGCCCATGTGCCCCATTCTTTTTGTATTATCTCCTCTGCTGTTTTTTCTCTGTCTGTAATATAGAGCTAGTTGTTGACAGCCTCTTCATCTCTTTTGTCACATGCTTACAGTAAGAGAAAGGGATGGTATTCTGTGCAAACATTTACTCTATCCTTTTCTTCTTTTTTCCAAAATATAGCAATTTGTCCTCTCTTCCGCACTTTCTTCCATTGCCTTTTGTCATTAATTATTTAGGGACAGCACATAATAATGTTACTCTCTCACAGAGAAAGCTGGATCTTGTAGTTTGTGCCAATAGCAGTGCTAAAAAAAAGTTGACTTGGTTTTAGTACATTGAATTCTGGAACATCTCTTCCCCACCCCACCCCCACCAAAACTGAGTAACTCCAATTTACCACTGAGAAACGTGACATAAGTTTTAAATGTCTTTTTATAGGACAATAACCCCATAGATAGTTCTGGAATTTCTTTTAAATACAAGTCAGTAAATATGTCACCTATTAAACTTACTTCATGTTGAAAGACAGCAAGTTTCTGCATATTAGAATGTCTGAATAAAGACTCTGGAAACAAATAACTGGTCAGGATTTTTGTATATTTCAAGCATTTTAACTGGCCATTTCTAAATATTCTATGGAATATTTAGAATTCTGACTAATCCATAAGACTGAAGCACAATGCAAGCTGGTAAATAATCTTTCAGCCTAATCTTATCTAGAAAGTAAGATGCATTATTCCCACGGTAATTCTAGGATATATATCATCATAATGCATCTTATAAAAGTATGGATCTAAACTAAGAAGTAGTGTTTGCTCAAACAAATCACTATTTGAACAAACAACTTCCTAAGAGAGTTGGTCTTTCACATAATAATATATCCATCTATTCCAATTTTGATATGATCCTGGACATTCCAGCCTATAGATAACCAGTTGGAAACAGCTATGTAGAAGAGAAAGACAGGAATATAGTATAGACTACCTGAGAGAAACAAAACTGGGTAAGAGGGAAATGAAATGGATTGGTTAGGGGGAGGGGGTGGGAAAGATGATAGAGTAAGAGGCCACATAAATATTTAAAGGATAGAGATTAAAGTTTACAGATTGGTCCTTTTCTGATTCATTCTGAGTTTTTTTATATACAGAGATGGAAGTGAAAGCTGCCCACAGAAATCAGTGGAAAGATGAGTTTGGAGGTCCATCCCATAGGCCCTCATGAATCTAAAATTGGGGGAAGGGGAGAAGGCTTGACCATGCTTGATTGATTGATTGCTCTATATCATGTAGCATCATATTTACTTCCAAGAACAGGTCCTGACCCTACCTGGGCTCGTAAGGCAGTTGCAGAAAGTAAAAATTACATTATGAAAGCATTTAGAGGAAAAGTATTTATTATTATTATTTATTATTATTATTATTATTGGTTAGTCACACAGTCAGCCAAACGTTTAGACTGGATTTGGCATTTTTATCCAGTTGTTATTATTATAATCATTATTGCAATGCATTGGAAAAAACAATATTATTATGAATGCACTGGGAGGAAAGGACTCTATTTTTTATTCTTTTGGAATACAGTGAGAGAAAAAAGATACTACAATGTTTATATTGGCAAGAAAAAAAATATTATTGCTGTTGCAATGATTGGAAGGAAAAAGTTATTAATGCATTGGGAGAAAAAAGATATTATTATTATTATTATTATTATTATTATTATTATTATTATTGCAATGCATTGGGAAAAACAGTATTATTATGAATGCACCAGGAGGAAATATCATTACTGCTATTATTATTCTCGGAATGCAGTATGAGAAAAAAGATACTATAATATATGCATTGTCAGCAGGTAAAAAGATATTACTGTTGTTACTGTTATAATTATTATAGGAAAGCATTGGGAGGAAAAAGATATAATTATTGCAATGCATTGAGTAAAACAGTATTATGAATGCATTGGGAGGAAATATTATTGTTATCATTATAATGATTATTATTGGAATGCAGTGAGAGGAAAAAGATACTACAATGTTTGTACTGGCAGGGAAAAGATATTATTATTGCAATGAATTCGGAGGAAAAAGATTTTATTTATTTATTTATAAAATATGTCACCGCTCATCTCGTTAAAAAGCAACTCTGCGCAGTTTACAGAGAAGATACAATCAATTAAAACACAATATAAAAGCAGTCTTAAATAATTATTATTATGAATTAGGAGAAAAAAGATATTAAGAATGCACTGGGAAGAATTATTATTATTATTATTATTATTATTGGAATTCAGTGAGAGAAAAAAGATGCTATAATGTATGCACTGGCAGCAGGAAAAAAGATATTACTGTTGTTGCTGTTATTATTATTATAGGAAAGAATTGGGAGGAAAAAGATATTATTGCAATGCATTGGGAAAAACAGTATTATTATGAATGCATTGGAGGAAATGACATTATCATTATTATTATTGGAATGCAGTGAGAGAGAAAAGATACTGCAATGTTTGTATTTTATTTATTTATTTATTTATTTATTTTTCAAATTTAGACATCACCCACCTCACGGGGCAGTGACTGGGCAGTTTACAATAAAAACAAAAAATAAATATTAGTTAAAATAGAATAAAAATAGTATAAAAATACAAAAAAACCAAATACATACATAAATAATTGGCAGGAAAAAGTTGTTGTTGTTGTTGTTGTTATTATTATTATTATTGCAATGAATTGGGAGGAAAAGGGTATTATGAATTCATTGGGAGAAAATGTTCTTGTTATCGTTGTTATTGTTATTGGAATACAGAGAGAGAGAAAACATACTGCAATGTATGCATTGGCAGCAAGTAAAAGATGTTACTGTGGCTATCCTTAGAGGAAAGCTCTGGGCGATGGGGCAGAAAGAGCAGCCTGAAAACAGAGCTTGGCAAGGAAGGGGGCGGGCAGGGCAGGGCAGGGCGGAGAAAGGCGGCGGCGGAGGGGAGGCCCCTAACGCGCGGCTCAAGCCGCCTCACCCGAGCCTGTCGCTCCAGCTGGGCGTGAAGTCCGGAGCCCTTCAGCCTCTCCACGATCTGGGCGATGGTCAGGGAGAGGCCGCCATCCGGCGCGGCCAGCATGGTGCCTGCGGACGAAGGAGAGACCTTCACTCTCGGCCCCTGCGGGACGGGGGACCGATTTCAGTGACGCTCCCACTAGCCCAAGCTCAAGAGGGCCGAGTCGCCTCGGCGTTGCCGGGCAACGGCGCGGGGCGGGTGCGCGGAGAGGCGTTCCCGAGGAAACGCCGCCTGGGAAACCCACGTTCCGCCCACTTGCAGCGCCCCGGCGAGCAAAGCGCAGGAGGCGGAAAGGAAGCCCACTTGCCCTCTTAGTTGCAGAGACCGTGCAAATCGTTGCACGCACACGCACACGCACACGCACACTTCCACCGACACACCCCTCGCCTGCTGATGAGAGTCCGTAGAAAACCAACCCGGGTCAAATAAAGGGGTTTGCAATTTCACAGGACGGTGACCCAAGATGGGTTCGTGCCATCTGCGCTACCTTTTTGCGATACGTTCAGTAGAGGCGAAGGGAGACTTCTCCAAACAGGTTTTGCAAAGAAAGGAAAAGATACGTTGGGGAAGCAAGCAAATCAGGTATTAATCCAAGAAAGAGAAATTGTATTCATTCATCCGTTCCTTAGATTCATATATCCTGCTTGTCTTGCAGGAGCTCGGACTGCAGTTGCTTCATGGACACGACTTGGCGGCTTTGACTGCTCATAAAGGAGAGAAAGTGATGCCCGCAGCCTCCAAGTAATTAATAAATAACTATTAACACGATTTTTTAAAAAAAATAAAATATAAATAAAAAAAGTATAAGCAAGAAAGATGTAAGACGTAAGAGAACAGAAAATAAGGTACAAACAATTGTTCCTATTGGACTGTAAATTGAAAATACAAGACTTGATGAATCAAGTATAAATCACCAACAAAGGCATAAATAGCAAACAATACGCTAGATCAGTGCTAAAAGCCATTGAAAAACCAATTACATAAGAGAGAAAACCCAAATTTGGGGTTTGGCACAAATCTGTAGGGGGAGTCTTTGGTGCTCTCTGAGCTTGGTTGTTTTCAGATGTTTCATTACCCGGCTAGGTAACATCAGCAGTGCAAGTCATGATGATGATGATGATGACAACGCTGATGATGTTACCTAATTAGGTAATGAAACATCTGCAAACAAACAACCAAGTTCAGAGAGCACCAAGGACTCCACAGTTCAACCCTGAGCTACAGAGATTCTCTTCTGTTGGGACAAATATGTATACAACATTACAATCCAAGAATCGTTTCCAAACTCTGCATCACATACACTTTTTATGGATGAAATTATTCTTGACATCAAGGTGTACTTCCACAATTTCATTAGCTATTCTTCCAAAGAAAGATCAAAGTTCCCCTCCATACAAAATCCCTGCAGTTGAAAGCATATTCCATGCCAACTCAGTGAACCTTGAAGGAATACTGTAACAAGAATATCTCACAGTGGGAAATTATTAATAAAGTTTTGATTGATTATGTGCCATCGACCACATAGACAGACTTTCTCCAAAATACTTCTAATTCTAAAACATAGGCACAATTGAAAATGTAATGCAACGCAAAATGAAATAAGTATTGTGCATTTCACATGATAACATCATTAATAAAAGTATTTATGACAGTATAGATAAGTATGAATGACTCCTGATAATACTTTCAGAAACAACTATTTTAACTGCTTCAAACCTGAAAAACTTTAGAGAAAACAAACAAAGATCTTTTAGCTATTTACGGACCAAGCACAGTTGATAATGTTATAGTTTTCGTGTTAGATAAAAAGCTGTTGCTACTTTGGTTTACCTTCGACTTAAAACTTAAGAAGTACTGTAACTGAAAAAAAATGCATTAGTCAGACACTTAGTATGGAGCCTACCCCAAGCAGGTTATTTTAAAGGTTAATCTGTTTTCCTTTAAAAAGTGGTAGAGAAGAAAATTAATTATCTCTGAGTTTCAGGGCTTCTCTGTTCTAAACTGGAATTTCCTGAATAATGCAGATGCGACTTGTTACTATATCCCTTCCCCCCAAAAGATATTTTAAAACCACACTTATATCTCAGCCTCACTGATCTGTACGAATGAAATATGAGAATTGATTAATTGCCCTCATTTTTTTTTTAACTTCTATTCTGACATTAAAATCGTGGTATTTAAAAAAGAAGAAGAAGAGGGAAATATTTATTTCTCTGTCCTTCTATCACTACTCAAATTCCTGAACAAAAGAGTTGAAAATCACTGAATTAAAGCCAAAAGTTAATTTTGATTATTTTCTGGCTTCAATCAGGAGAGCATATTTTCAAAATTTTCAAAATGTGAATGTTATCACTAATGGTGGTTCACTGGATAATTATAATTAACATTAACTTAGCAGCCATTGTATATTTTTTTGTCTGGCCTTCCTCATTTACAATTGTATTTTGCACACTATACACACCTATACACCCCCATGAAGCCGCCGGGTAAGACCAGCCATTGGCATGGACTCAGTGATACCGTTCTGTCTTGGTTGGGTTCATCCCAGTCCCTGGAGACTCTGAGGGTCTGGATGGAGAAAAACAGGCCTAATTCAACTGTACAAAACCAACTGGCTATGGGTTTTGGGTCTCCCTAGAGATCCATATCTGGGGATTTTCTACCCCAGGCTTTGGATATGGTTGTCCTTCCCCACTTGGTGCTGATACAGAGCTTTGGGAGGATCCCACTGAATGTACAGTTCGTGCTTGAAGAGCAAGTGGCAACCACAGCCAGGCAAGCCTTTACACAACTTGTCTTGTGCACCAGTCACACCCACTTCTGGATTGGAAGCCCTGCTAATAGTCATTCATGCCTTAATCACCCCTCCACTGGATTTCTGCAAGGCATGCTGTGTGGCCTGCCCTTGAAGACAACCCTCTTCCCCAAAAAAACCGAAAGCTGGTCCAGAATGCAGCAGGTTAGAAAGTAATAAGGTATCTTGGTATGCCCATGTAACACCACTACTTTGTAAGCTATATTGGCTCCCAGTAGGCTTCTTGGTGCAATTCAAGGTGCTGGTTATCACCGACAAAGCTTTCATGGCACTGAACCAGGCTTCTTGCAGCACTGCCTCTCTCAATAGTCTCTGCCCATCCCATAGTATCATACAAGATGGACACACTCCAGGTCCCTTCTCTTCTATCTATTGAGGCCTAGTAGACATGCCTTCTCTGTTACTGCACCCTTTGGAATGAGCTCCCATGAGGTTCAGGTGGCTCCAACCATTTTGGCCTTCTGTAGAGCAGAAAAGACCTGGTTTTTCTTCTGTGTGCTGGACCAGTCGATGAGCCCATTCTGTGACAAGACTGTATGTTATCATTGCCAGCTTTGCTTAAGTACTGATTATATATTGCCTTTGCCTGCTTATTTTGTTTCTGAACAGCATTTATTTACTTTTTAGTTTGTTTCTGACATACTCTTCCAATTTTTATTGACGCTCTCTACCCAGAGTCACAAAAAGTGAGAGGAGCAGCTTTACAAATCTCTTAAATAAATATAAAATGCATACACACATACACAGTTAAGGATGCTTCGTGCCTGTAATGAAGGAACTTCTATCCACAAATTTCATCTCACTATAAGTTTGCTTTTAAAAAATTGTATGTTATTCCTTTTACTGCGGTGGGCAGCTTACAACAATCTGTAAAACATCTATAGTTAAATAGATGTTAAAATGTCTATAAAATGTTGATTGAAGACAGAACAAATAAAATATCAAAGTTATAACATTAGCATTAAAGGACTTCTCTCTCTTTATCCTTAAACCTTTATAAATGTTGGCTTCAACTCCACTGGCCAGTGAAATACATTTCTTATTGTTGTAAGATGCTCTAAGACTCTTTATAGTGTTGAAATAGACTAAAATGGTTTCTCCTTTAATATTTTAGCATGCCTCAATCTCTTCATATTTATTTTCATTCACGGTAGAAGAACAAGTTGCATCGAAAAGGAATTCTTATTATAGCAAAGAGAACAAAACTTGGAGTTCTTCATTAATGGAAATTTGAAGGAATGATCCCTCTTATGAGAATACAGTATATTTCTTCACACTGAATGTATACCAAGAGTATTCTTGTTTTTATCAGTTGAATGTCAAAGGATATATCATTCAGCTCCCAACAAGCTTTCTGCTTAAATCAATATAAGAAATAAAATAGATCAAAACAGTTGGTAATGGGTGTCATTTATTTTAATGGATTGCCTTTTTTCTTGAACATTTCAGTATCATAAAGCAGTTTCAGAATCCCGCCCTCTGTCCAGAACAGAATGCAAAGCTCCAGGGATCAGGGTACTTTTCATGTGTCAGACCAAATTCTATGAATTTTTTTGACATCAGTTGAATATCCTTTCAACTGGCAGATCTTTATACTATCTTTGTTTATTTGAGTTTATTTGCTTTTAATGTTACCTATTCACAGAATTATATGGGAGTTGTCAACAAAGGAGATCAGTGTATTGTCGAAGGCTTTCACGGCTGGCATATGATGGCTGGTGTCGGTCTTCTGGGCTGTGTGGCCGTGGTCTTGAAGTTCTGT